TAATGATGTTCGATACAATATTAAACTCTACATATCTGACAATATTATAGGTTCTTGAATATCATTGTAGTAACGTTGTATTAATGACTTCTTGCTTACTGAGAAAGTTTTTTCGAAATTTTTATTGGACATTTTTCCTCGAAGATTGTCAAAAATGAACCCTCTTGTACTGAACAGCCTTTCGACGTCTCGCTACACCTTTATGGCATGGTTAACTTCAAGATAATTTAATTAAAAGTTAATAGTTACCGATAAAATATAACTAACAAGTAACACTACCCAAGTACCACACGCAGATCTTCTTGAAACTTTGCACACATGTAGTACATCGAAAAACATTAGACACGTATTTTTTTATTTTGGCTAGCAAGGCATTTTAAAGTTAGAAAACGCATTCGAAAATTTAACACTCTATAGCACCATGATAACTGCTACTCTTAAGCGTCTTTCTTTTACAGCTTTTACGACATTATTCTATTATAATTTCATTGTTTGGATGTTTCTGAAGTCTCTAATTATGATTTTGACATTAGTTTTGTGAGATTCAAAATGGCGGACCAAAATCGCAGACATTTCAAAGACTTTATTTAATGTCAGTTTCAAAGTTTTTTGCAAAACTAAATCTCGCAAAACTAATGTCAAAATCATAATTAGCGACTTCAGAAACATTCAGACAATAAAATTATAATAGAGTAATGTCGTAAAAGCCGTAAAAGAATGACGCTCAGGAGTAGCATTAGTTATCATGGTACTATAGAGTGTTAAATTTTCGAATGCGTTTTCTAATTTTAAAATGCCTTGTTAGCAAAAATAAAAAAAATACGTGTCTAATGTTTTTTGATGTACTACATGTGTGCAAAGTTTCAAAAAGATCGGCGTGTGGCATTTGGGTAATGTTACTTATAAGTTAAGTTAAAAGTTAAGAGTGTAACTAAGTTAAGTAAAAGCTATTTAACTTTTTAACTTTTTAACTTAACTTTTAACTTTTTAACTAGTTACTATCCAACCCTGGAAATGACTATTCGCAATCGTGTCACGAAAAAAAGTTCGATTTTTGTCGAATAATGTAATTATTTGTTCTTGGTGCAAATAATCACTTTGTATCACACACTTTTTCCATGAGCATCACCTTTGTAACAAATATATGCTATAAATAAAACACATTTATTTTCTGTTTACATACAAGT